TAGCCGCGCGCGAGCCAGGCCCGGTTACGTCCACGCCCTTTGTGGCGCGTCGCCCCGCCCACCTCTTCGGGGACGGCCCTGATTGGGCGGCTCGAGGCCACGCCCCCGTGGGCGGGGTGACTGAGTTGCCTGGACTGTCCTGGAGCCGAGCCGCCCCTGCTTGGTCAGGGCCGGAACCTGTCCCTTCGAGGGACACTGGCGTTTATGCAAAAGTCGTTCCCCGGCCATCGGCGGACGCTGGCTGAAGCTTGTGCACGCAGGAACCCAAGCGCTGCCAGGGAATCCATCAGTTTTCATTTCATTTTATTTATTTGTTTATTTATATATATAATTATTGATGCAGGGACCAGCGGATGGCATACCAGTTTCGTCCCTGAACTGTCACATGGTTGACCACAGTTCCAGTCCCGGACCTGGTGTCTTGCAACTCGGGAGATGGGGGGAGGAGGGCAAAAGGGAAGAGGCAGGTGGCCTATCAGTTAAAGGCGCCAGAATCTGGGGCCAGCAGGTGGTCTGGTGGTTAAGGACGCTGTATTCCCACATAGCTGACTGTGGTTCGAGTCTCGAACCTGGTGGCTTGCTTTCTCTCTCTTTCTCTCTCTCACTCTGTCCCTCTTTGTTCAAATAAAAATTTAAAAATAAATAAATAAATTGGGAACCAGCAGTTAGCGTAATGGCTATGTCGCTGGACTCCCACGTAGTCGACTGTGGTTCGCGTCCCAGACCCGGTGGCTTAAAACTCAAGCCGGGCGCGTGTGCGTGCGTGCCCAGGATCCCGAGAACAGAATGGAGGAGAAGGGATTGTGGTGTGACCATCCCCCCTGAGGAGTGATTTCTCGCTTTCTGTCTCTCTGTCTCTCTCTGTCTTTCTGGCGAGCATACGCGCCCTATAGCAAAAATCTCTCTCTCAAAAAAAAAAGTTAATATAATTCTCCAAAATAAATAAATAAATAAATAAAGGCGCTGGACTCCCACAGGCCAACCGCGGTTCAAGTTATGGACCTGGTGGCTTGCTTTCTCACTTTTCCCTCTGTCTCTCACTGATCAAACTGGAAACTAGTAATAATAAAGAAAAAAAAAGAAAAAGGAAAAAAAAAAAAAAAGAAACAAAAGATGGGGTCGGTTTTGTTCCTGCACATACGGCGACCACAGTCCAGGGACGCCACCTCATGCTCCCAGGGACGCATAGCCCCAGCCCTCTGTCCCCCTTTCCCAGGATTCTCTATGAGGAAAAATCCATTCTCTCACAAGGTCAGGTTCAAGGGGACGGTGAGGTGTCCTCAGCGGGCTCTCGACCGCCTCCCAGAAGGCTCGTCACACAGAGCAGTTTAATACATAGTGTCAGGGCTCACACGGACACGCACGGGAGAGTAATGCCACCCCACCCACGTGATCGTCACAGAACCAAGCCAATTCTCAAAAGAGGGGAGGGTCCTTCAGCCCATCCTGTGGGGAGGGCTTTTCACACTTTCTGAGCTTCCACAGTCCAACAAAACACCATCTCTGTGGGCCAGCAGGTGGCGCGGTGGTTAAGGCACTGGACTCCCAGATGGCTCACCATGGTTCGAGTCTTGATTTCTCACTTTCTCTCTCCCTCCGGTGAGCACACATACCCGATAGCAAACTTAAAAATAATAACAAGTAAAATTAAATAGATAGTTTGTTTTTTCTTTTTTTGGAGAGGTTTTTACTATAGGGCGCATGCACTCGCTAGACAGACAGAGAGAGACAGAGAGACAGAAAGCGAGAAATCACCCCCCAGGGGGGATGGTCACTCCGCAATCCCTTCTCCTCCATTCTCCTCTCGGAATCTTGGGCACACACGCACACGTGCCTGGCATGAGTTTAAGCCACTGGGTCCAGGACTCGAACCGCGGTCAACTACGTGGGAATCCAGCGACATAGCCATTACACTAACTGCTGGTTCCAATAGATAGTTTTTTAAATAAAAAAATACCATCTCTGTAAGAAACACCCACCAGGAGCCTAAGGAGGTGACAGCCAATGCCCTAAAGAACCAGAGTAATAATGTCCTAGGCTGGGGCGAGGGTGTGATGTGGTGGTTAGAGCACTGGACTCCCACATGGCCAAGCACGGTTCAAGTCCCAGACGTGGTAGCTTGCATTCTTACTTTCCCTCTCTCTTTGTGTCTCTCTCTGGTGAAATTAATAATAATAAAATCAAGTAATTCTTTTTTTAGAATTAATTTTATTTAATCATTTATTTTTTATTTTGACCAGAGAGTGACACAGAGAGAGAAAGAGAAAGAAAGTGAGGAAGCAAGCCACCAGGTCCAGAGCTGGAATGTGGGCAACCCTGTGGAAGTATCCAGTTAACCACTACCCCACCTGCTGGTCTCAAAATTAAATCATTCTTAAAAAAAAAAAAAAAAAAGAATGTCCCAGGCCCTTGGGCCAACTGGTGGCATGGTGATCAGTGTTGCTGAATCCCAAATGACCGACTGTAGGGTTCGAATCCCAGACCTGATGTAAAGTACTGGACAATCCCATGTGCCTGACCACGGTTTGATGCTTGAACCTGGTGGCTTATTTTCTCAATTTCCCTCTCTTTCTCTGTCTCTCTCTCTCACTCTGTCCTTCTCTGGTCAAATTAGAATAAATAAAATTAAATAATATTTTTAAAAATTTTATGTCTGATTTTTATTGTTAATTATGTTTAATTACACATACAAACAATATTAACTATACCTCAGAGGTTTTAAAAAAGATTTAATTTTATTTTTTATTATTATTTTTTAATTTGACCAGGGAGAGACAAAGACAGAGAGGAAGAGAGAGAGAGAGAGATGGACAATGAGAAAGCAAGCCACCAGATCTGGGACTCAAACCATGGTTGGCCATGTGGGAATCCAACACCTCAACCAGCATGCCGCTTGCTGGTTCCCCTACTGTGTATATGCTTTTAAAGACTATTCTATACCCTACAAAGATATGTAGTAATTATATGTGAACTATAAATTACAATCAATATTTTAAAATCCTTTCAAGTTTGTCTTTATTCAGACTATTTACTAATGTGCCTCCTAAACACAGTCTAAATAAAAGAGGACTTATATATATGACAAACTGTGCTTAAAGTAAAATAACGTGTCAGTGTGAAAATCTATGTGATTTTAGTAATCAATGGTGTAAGCAGAGGGGTAGTTTCTATTTCTGTGACTGAGTCTCATTGAATTGAATGGAAATGTCAGTCCCACTTGTTAGTATAATTTTTCCCCATAAAGTGTTACAGTATTCAACAACACATGCATTTTTTTACTATAATTACTAAGTCCCGGACCTGGTGGCTTAAACTCATGCCAGGTACGTGTGCGTGTATACCCAAAATCCTGAGAAGAGAATGGAGAAGGGATTGCAGTATGACCATCTACCTTGGGGGGATGACCTGCTTTCTGCCTCTCTGTCTGTCTCTTCAGTGCGGCCATGTGCCCAATAGCAAAATCTCTCTTTAAAAAAATCTATCTCTGTCTCTCTGTCTCTGTCTCTCTCTCTCTATATATATATATATATGTATATGTATATAAAAG